TAATATCATTAAAGATAATATATATATATATATATATAATAACTAAAAAAATCTAAGAACAATATCAATTTAGAAGTGGATAATTCATAACTTTTAATATGCTTATGTCTTGTCAAACAAAAGAAATAATCTACTTTGAATGAAAAAAAAGACAAAACTTTGATATTGGTAGTATGTTCTTATAAATTTAAAAAGAATAAGAACTCAAAGAATGTAAATAAGAAAAATAAATTTTTTTTTAATGACACATGACAAAAAAATAGTAAGAAAATATTTATATTCATCAAAAAAATTTAATAATTATTTCCAAAAGATAAGAAAATTAATAATTCTTAAAATTAGACTAAAAATAAAAAATAAGTTGAAAAAAATAAGGAAGGCTTTAGTCTTGCCTCTATATATACTATCTAATTAGGAATTATATTGCAACATTCTATAGGACCTTCAACATGTGTCTAATATATAGGATACATATTTAGCTTCCAAAATAAGTTTCTTATATATATACCACATGTCCAACTTGAATCATAACTAGCCAATATATACAACATATAGCTAATATATTGGAATAGTTTTTAATCTATTAATAACCTATAGATATATATAAATATATATATATATATATATATATATATATACTGCATCTATAAAAAATTTAAGAAGCTTGTTTACAAGATATTATTAAATTTATTTATTTTTATTTATTTTTATATATTCATATTATCTAAATAAATATAGATATTTTTTATATATCTAAAATTCTTATTTCTTAATAAATAATTATAATATCTAAATATTTTTTTATTTTATATTTCATATCATGCTACTTAAAAATAATAATATATAGATGAAGGAATTTTAATTCAAACATCCAATTGTAAATAATGAATTAGTTTATTATGATATTTTTGTAACAACAATCCCTTGTTACTTCTCATTTTTTAATCTTAGTTTATTTATCTTTCATATTCCACTTTTGTGCCAATAGCTCTCTTAAGCTCTTTTTCTAGTATTTTGTTATATATGCAACAAATATTATACATTGTATGATAGAGGAAATTTTTTCTAAGTATGTGAGGTTTAAATCATAGACAGCTATTGCAATTGTACCATGAAACGTATAGAAACATTTTTTTTAAACAAAGTATTTAATATAAATTGCATACCTTAAATGACCTACAAATTATATGATACAGCTTACATATTAGTATATTGTGAAGGCACAAATTAAAAGTAAGGAGCAAAGATTTTTTCTTTCTATATTCTTTGCTAGAATCAAGGCATTTTAGTGCTATGCCCTTCTTTGCGACCTTTCCATAGAAAGCAGTTTAGAAGCCTCTACATATAGATTTTTTTGTTGCACATTTAAACACGCCATCTTTGCTTGTGTCTTGACTTCTTACTCCTACGCCTTAAAAATATGCTTCTTTGTTTCATTGTATTGGTGAGCTTTTTTTTGCATTTTGTTTTTTATTTTTTTATTTTTTTATTTTTTTAATAGTTTGCATCTTTGTATTTAATTTGTGTTATTTTTTTCTTCTTAGAATGTTTAAATTTTTTTTCTTGGATTTAATATTCAATGTTCATATATACTTCAAAATTTGACATTGATAATTTAAAAAAAAATGTATAATGGAATCCACTTTGTGTCTCTTTGAATTAGGCCTTTTTATACTAGTTGGCATGGTTAAGAAGCAAGTTATAGATTTTGGATTAGTATAGGTAAGTCTAATCTACAAACTTCTTTTTTCAACTCTAATTGGACATGTCTACATCAATAAAATAAAAAAAATAAAAAAAAAATTAGTTGTGGAATTTGGAGCTAGCTCTAAATTGGCTACAATGTACTCAACTAGCACAGTAGGTACATCTTCACCTTTCAATTCCATAGCTAGTTTTTTATTGCTCTCATATTCTATGAAATTCTAAACTTATCCAACTCCATTCTTTTTACCTTATCTAATTTATTTGGCAGATAACATATATACTTTATTTAATCTTAAGTTCTTTTTTATTGCCATTTTTTGTGCTATAAATTTTTAGTAGAGTTGAAGTATTTAATAATATTATTCATTATTAAAGACTCTTTTATATTAAAAAATATCAAATTTATAAGAAATTGATTTTTTATAGACTAATTTAAGTTCTTAGATGCTCAATAATTCTAATATATTTTTAAATAGGCCTTGAATGGTCCAAATATATAAAAATCTAGAGGTTGAATGGTGTAGAATACATAAGATGGTAGGATTAGAATGTCCAATTATGTATCTTATATTAATTTTCTTATTTCAATAGTAATATGGCTTATATTGTTGTATTACATAAAATTTACTTGAAAATATATTAGGCAGTTAGTTGTGGAAGATAAAATAGAACTTGCAATAAGAAGATCCTAATAACTCCAATAGAATCTTAAATTAGTCCTAATCGAATCCTAAAAAAATCCTAACAAAATCCTAAATCAAATCCTAACTAAATTCTAATTAAATCATAATCAAATCTTAATTAAATTCTACTCAAATTCTAAATCACTTCTAAACCAGTCCTAATCAAGTCTTAAAAAATCCTAAATCCTAACCAAATTCTAATCAAGTTCTAAATCAAATCTTAATTAAACCTTAAACCAAACTTTAATCAAATCCTAATCAAATCTTAAAGTAAATCGTAATCAAATTTTAAATCAAATCTTAATTAAATCCTAATAAAATTTTAATCAAATCTTATATCATAACCAAATTCTAGACCAAACCTTGATGAAATCTTCACCAAATTTTAATCGAACCTTAATCAAATCTTAGATCCAATTCCAATCAAATCTTAATCAAATTCTTTTAAAAATCTAAACCAAGTTCTAATCAAATTCTAAATTGAATCTTAATCAAATCTTAATCAAATTCTAAACTCATAATTAACCATATAGCAAATTAAAACCTCAAAAACTAATAATTGAATTGTTAATACCAACTCAAAATTTACACACTTTTTAACAATTTAATTGAAAATTAACACAAGAATAATAATATCAATTGCATCTACTAATTAAAAAAAATTATAAGATAATCCATTTGAGTGTTGGATGGCATCCTTCTCTAATCTTGATGTTAAGCTCCCAATACAAATATCTCCTTCTTAAACTATTAAATTGCTCTCAAAATTCATAAAAATGTTGGAAATCAAGTCTGTTATCCATACAAAAAAAATTCACTTAATTAGGCTCTTTTATAATAAAATATTTTTTTTCTTCTTTCACTTAATAGTCATATTACTATACAACATGTCTATTTAGAATTAATATATGTCTTTTGATAGGAAAAATACTATCAATTTGTGCCATGCTCTTAATAAAGTAAAAAATCCATTTGAAGAATAAATAATTAGTCACCAAAGCTCTAGGTTGTATTGCCATAGTCACACTTAATTAGCATTGCTCTATATAGTTTTGGCAAAAATACATCCTTCTAAAAATGTAAAAAGATGGTATGACTAACCTTATTGAATTGATGCATATCAAAATTGAAAGCTAATCTCATTAATTTGGAATGGTAAAATATACCTGATAGGCATATATTTGAGCTCTAGGAAGTATATTATTTTTTTTAGATACTTGCACAATGGAGTTATCACAATTCTATATCCTATCTAGAAGATTATTATATAAGGTATATAATACAATTAAATTATCATAGAAACTCTCCACAAATTTTTTGCATAGTATCTTTTTTCTAGAAGTTGTAAGGATTTATGCTAACTTCAATGTAAGCTTAAGGTATCAACGTCTAAACCACTTCAATCATCCATCACTCAAGATCTCATTTTTGAATGATCTGCATTGATGTAAATCCCACTAATAAATTTTAATTGGTAGGACTATTAATAATATAGATTTTAATTATTTAAATATAAAAATAATAGGATTAAAAAGTCTTTTTGATGATTTAAGTATTTATTAGAATTTAAAAATGCTTATAGGATATAAGAGTCTTATTGAAAAAAATTATAAAAATAAAGTCTTAGTGAGTATTAGAGCTAATTATTTTAGTTGATTTGATATTTTTACTTATTATTGAATATTAAAAATTAATTATTAAGACTAATGTATATATTAATCTTCTATTTATATTTTTTAATTATTTAAAAAACCTATAAATATTAATTAGTAGTTAAAAAAAGTATGAAAAAAAATATCATGTCTTTTTGGTTATTTATATTAGAAATATGATTTTTAGTTGTTTTAAATTTATTTTATTACTATAAAAAATCACCAAGGTAGGAAAATATGACTTTAATTTTATATAAATATTTTTTTAATTATAAAAAATAAATTTTTATTTAGAATTTTTTCAGAAATTTTTAGGAATTTTTACAAAAAAAATTTAAGATTTTGGTAAAATTGATTTTTTACCACTTTGTTAGCTTTGTTAGCTTTGATAAAAATGTGTGGCCTTTAAAGAAATGGAGCAAGATTTAAAGGCCACACATTTTTTACTTAATTTTTTATTTATTCACTTATTATCTTTAAACTTTCATAATTTATTTATAATAACTTGGATTTATATATTTTTTACTTTTTACTATATGAAAACTCAATAAACAGATTGTGATGAAGTTTGGAGTGTGTAATTGCTTGATTTCATTTATTTCACTTGTTTTGTGTTTGGTCTTCTTTTCTTCTTGTTAAATGCTTCTTTTATTTTATACCACCAAATAAAGTAGAGGCTTTCTTATAATTTGGATTGAGGGGTGAAATTTATCCTCACAATCAAGTCTTAGTTGTTTTTTAAAAAATCAATTTTTAAGTTGTGGAACTTAAACCTATGCCTTGCTGCTGTCAGTCATGTGGAGTCTGTGCTGTGGAGTAGAGCTGCACCCTTTACTCGCTGCTGGCCGTGGGCTTGCCGAGTCGACTGATGCGGCTCTGCCGGTGCTGTTACCCTCACCAACCGCTTCGTACGATTTCGCCGCGTTGTGATCGATCGCCAGCCATTTCATTCTGTGCAGAGTCATCTTGTAACATGCGTGGTTGTCGTTACTAGACTCCGCGACTTCTGTCCTGTCTGTCTTTCCCATAGCGAAGCTGTCAGACTCATCGGACAATTATATGACTACCTACAGGCGTTCCAGATCTGATGAGCATGATATCTAGCCGCGACAACTTCTGTCTTGTTGATTAAGTTGTAGTTGTTGGTGGTGGTGGTAGGAGTAGTAGTGTGATTTTGCACCCCGTTGCTTGGAGGTCGAGTTTGGGGTTGGAGTTTTTATTGGAGTTGGGAGTTTGCTTCGGTGTTAGGAGTTTGCTTCGGTGTTAGTTGTATGGCATCGCAGTTAGAGAGAAGCTCCAGTATGCGCTCCGATAGGGACACGACAATGGCGGTCTTCCAAAGGTCCGCTTCTTCTGTGAAAGAGTCCACTGCTGTCAATGTTCCTGTCATGCAGCGCAACAGCTCCTTGCTCAAAGGTAGTCCCCCGTCGGAGAAGCTGCGAGCGCTTCCTTCTCTTGTCAAGGATGGCCAAGGAAAGAGCGGGCTTAATGAATCTATTCGGAATCGCAATATCGTCATCGGCATCCTGTCGGGCCTTCTCTTCCTTGCTGTGGTGGTGCTCCCCTGGGAGGGGGAAGTGGGACCTGCTTACATCGCTGCTGGCAATGTCGGCAAAAATTCTGTAAGCATTGCTAGCGGTGGTGACCCATTTCAGAGCAAATGGGCGAACGCAGCTAGAGCGCGGCCTTATCATCATTTCTTGAAGATGTCCTTCCTGGGTAGTTCGAAATTTCTCGTCACAGGCCCTGCCATTACCGTGCCTTACCACAACGGTCCCATACTAGCCGGTAAGGGTGGCGTGCTCAAGGTGCATGTCATATATTATGGCGCTTTCACGGCTGCCCAGAAGGCTATAATTAACGACTTTCTTCAATCGTTTTCAGCGCCGAAGGCTTCCGCGGGACATCCCACTGTCGCAGGCTGGTGGGCTATCACCAAAGGATTCACAGATGGTTCCAAGGTGCCCGTTGCGCAGACTGTTCTGCGTGGTAGCGTCCACGAGGACGCTGCTTACAGCCTAGGAAAGTCCTTGATGCAATCTGATGTTGAAAAGCTAGTAGTCTCCTCCCTCGGCAAAGGTGTTGCGCTAGATCCTGCTGGGGTTTATGTCGTATTGACATCCGCCGATGTCAATGTCCAAGGATTCTGTAGCTCTCAGTGCGGGACTCATCTATACACGTTCCCATCTGCAGCAACGCAGACTCATGTTCTCCCCTACGCTTGGATCGGCAATGCCGAGAAGCTCTGCGCGGGCCACTGTGCGTGGCCATATGCTAAGCCTGTCAAGGGAGCTGGGCCTGACGTGCCGCCGCTAAAGCCTCCCAGTGGTGATGTCGGCTTGGACGGGATGATCATCAACATGGCGAGCTTACTTGTCGGCACAGCCACTAACCCTTACGCTACAGCCTATTTCCAGGGCGATGCAACGGATCCCTTGGAAGCAGCTGGCGCTTGTGGCGGGATCTATGGTGCAGGTGCTTACCCTGGCTACGCAGGACAGCTGCTGACTAACTCCAAGACAGGAGCTAGCTTCAATGTCTATGGTGTCAACGGCCGAGAGTTTCTTGTGCCATGGGTGTACAACCCTGTCACGAAGAAGTGTGCAGGTCAGGTATAGCATGTGTTACAGTACTAGTTTTATTAGTATGCCTACTTGACATCTGTGCTGCTGACAGCCTTAAGTGAAGAGCTTCCATGGCAGCCGATGCAACGCTAGGAGGCCTGCTTTTTAGTTTACGTGGCCTTTATCATCAATTTTCGATTCGACATCATTTTGTCACCCGACAGGCTCATTACATTGTCGCAACTACTTTGGTTGTGGATTCAAGTGAATTAAGTGAACTGGTGGTACGACACCGAGTTGTCCTTATCTACGATTACCGTCGGCCTTGTCGTGGTTCCGAGTAATACTACATACTTGATTTGAATTTGTGGGAATACTTGATTTTGTTTCGCTTGTATTATGCCTTTCTTAAATTTCCCTGTTGCGTATTCCGTCGTGCAATCTTCTCGGATCGAACACCAAACTCTGGGATCTTCGAGAAGTTTTTAAATTTGGAACTCGAGAAGAACACGACGTTACTAAGTTCAAAAGGTTTCACGACCCTTCTAGAAGGATCGATGACTACGCTCTGGCCATTGAGGAACAGGTTATTAGATGGGAAGAATGGTTTAAGATTCGCTCCATTTTAGTGCTTCAGGTGTTGCGGGGACGTTCCCTTGTTTCGTTGTGTTGGGCAAACCACCTAAGAGCGACTGCTGCTAGTTCAGTACACGTTGGGGACGTTTACGTTGTCGTAATGTCCCTCTGTTGTTAGCTTGTCTTTGAGCATGCCTCCGTTTTAGGTGCCTACCCCTCCGATCTTTCTAATACGCGTCTGAAAACGGGAGCCATCTCTCACCATCTCGTAATATTCTGGTGTATCCAGGCTATGGGTTTCTTTGTTCAAACCACTATTTATCCTTTTCATAAGGTTTTACATCTGCTTGCTGTAACTGGACCTCGTGATTAGTTCTAATTTGGAAATGTGAGTTGCTGATCCCCTTCGCTGGCACCAGCACGATTACTAAATCACACCACCTGGCAGAACACAGAGTTGCTGCTCTGAGTAAAATCTTAGGTCACATCACTTATAGGTTATTCTTCGTTCTGGAAATCCAATCAGTGGTTCATTACTCAGCTTTGAGGTCTTCTTTAGACAGGAGGTTGCGACACGCGGAAAGAGTACATATTTTTCCTCCTCATCAAGTAAGCACAGCTTTTGTTGAGTTTGATTGCACGTCACAAATGACTCCCGGTACAGTCATATCGTTGGTGAGTCATTTCTCTGACAATCTAAACGTCTATTCGCCTTCTGAAACGTATGATGACAGTAACATTCCCGTCTCTAAACCAACCAAAGGGGTGATACGTCTGTCACACTGTACCCATAATATCTGTTTCTACGTGCCCTAATATTTCAATCCAACCCACAAAAGATGCCGACACTGCAGAGGCGTTCACCATTATGAGTACCACCGAGCTCCTTGTCCGTGAGACCAATTGTACCTACCGTCCAATGTCTCCACGCTGCGCTTGATCTTTTGCTTCTGAGACGTAATGTTCTATATACCAGCTGATGAAATGAAGACACCACTCTTGGATACTTCCCATTCTTGTTCTGCCACATCCCATCTGTTAGCGAGAAAGTCTGGTCAGGCTGGTTGAGGGCACAGACAGATCTGGTGCATGTCTGCTTATGCCAACACTCTGAACAGACTGGACAATTCGGTGTCAGGCTGGTATGAATTTGGCGCAACAGAAAAATTTGATTATTTTTGTTTTTTTGTTTTGTTTTTTGAACAAATGTTATTATAACACACTGGGCTGGGTGTGAACAGTCTGTGTTATAAAGAATAATTCATTGTCACATCTTAGTCTAACCAAGGACATGTTGACTTAGCTATTTGAAGTTGCATTCTATTATGGTTTGTATTTCCAAGATTTAAACCTTTTACTATAGATTGGAGGTCTTTCATGCTCTTCACATTTTAATATTTATGACAACAATGTCATACATCAAACTTGTCTTGATTTAATGCAAACTTATCAAATATAGCTACCTCCATTCCCTTGACCTGTTTATAATTGAAGTAATACAAATTCTTTTCTTTAGTACAAAACATCTATTCATATTGAAATGAATCATAAAGTCACTTATTATAAGTTTAATCACCAAAATGAGGTTTTGCTTCATCCTTGGCATAAGGAGGACAACTTTAAATGTAATCCAATTGATTTATCCATTCACAACTACCTCCACTATAATAGAGCCAATTCCAAGGGCTTCAAATGTGCTATCATTTGTTAAAATTATATTTGTTGTTGAAATAATCTCAAAAATGTCAAATAAATACTTATAATGTGTCACATATTTGGAGCAACCTAAAACCACAATCAATCTTGATATAGCAGCTATAAAGGTCTTTTTTTTAGCTATAAATGTATAATCTTATTCTATGTAAGAAAAATATTTTAATTTAGCTTCATTAATATTGATTATAATCATTGCAAAAGTCTTCTTTTCATCACATTTCTATTGTTTTTTTTTCCTTCATATTAATTTGTATGTTAAGTGTCACGCACATACATATTTATTATGATATTTACCTATATGATTAAGTAGAAGTAAGTAAAAATAGATTTATTTCATATTATTTTTTAAAAGAGCTTTTTAAAATCTTCATAAATTTTTCTTTGACTTTACATATGTTTGTAGTTGATTAATAGGTTAGAAACTTGGTCAATAAATTAACTACATGTTGATAGCTTGCGGAACAAGCTAACTATGTAGTGTACATATAAAAAACTTGCCTTATAAGTTAAGATACATTTTTTATAAAGTCAACATGTTTTGGAGGCCCTACATAATATTGCCACATAGCTCTTAAGTAAGATTATATAGAGAAGTAAGAGTAAAGCTTTCTTCCTTGTCAATGCCTTTCTAATCCTTAGTCTTGTTTTCAGACTTTTTAGTCTTCTTGTCTTTGGCAATAGCCATTCTAATTTAATATTATATTATCTTAGAATGATTTTCTACTCTTTTTGAGTGTCATAAGATTGTATTGACATTTTAATACATAGAAATTTTCATTCAATATTAGAGGTTGTAAATTACCCTCTTTTAATTTGACTTGTGGATATGTTAAGTTGTTTGAAATAGAGGAAAAAATCATGGATGCTACAATTGGTAGAAGTAAGAATAGATTTGCAACTATTGCAAATATTTACAAACTTATAAATATTTTTAGGATAAAAATTTCATGCATCACTAGTGCCAACCATATAAACATTAATCCTATATATATGGAAGAAGGTCAAAATCTACAGCAAGAAGTTTTGCAGTTGAACAAAGCAAGTAAATCAAATTCACAACCAAATTTAAGAAGTTTTCCTTTTATAAGTATGACAGAGACACGAATTAGTATTCCAGATAATTTTGATGGAATGAGATCAAAATTTTGAAAAAGAAAAATGGACATACAACCTAGTTTCCAGGATGTTTTTGAAAAAGAAAAATGGACATATAACCTAGTTTCCAGGATGTTTTTGAAAAAGAAAAATGGACATATTTTTTTAGAGCATCGATCCTATGAATATACAATTGATCAACAAGAAGGAGCTCAACCACCAATTAGACAAATTTATAGCTTATCGCAAAATAAATTAGCTAGACTAAAGGAGTATATTGTTAAGAATTTATTTAAAAACTTTATATACCACTTGAAATATCCAATAAGAGCTACTATCTTATTTGTGAAGAAAAAAATAGATCTTTGCGGATGTGCATAGACTATCAGGGACTTAATAAGTTCACCATCAAAAATTGATATCTCCTACCTTTGATTTCAAGACTTCTTAACCAACTCAATCAAGCAAAGATATATATAAAAATAGTTCTACAAGGAGCATATAACCTAGTTTGCATTAAAGGAAGAGATGAGTGGAAGATTACTTTCCAAACTAGATATAGATATTTTAAATATAATGTTATGCCTTTTGCACTCACAAATGCATGAGCTACTTTTTAACATCTCATGAATGATATCTTTTATGAATTTGTTGATGATTTTGTTATCTATTATTTAGATAATATTCTAAACTATTCTAAGAATATAGAAAAATATAAACTTTATATTTATCATGTATTACAAAAATTTAGAGATGCAAGATTATATGAAAAGATAAAAAAAAAAAAATAAATAAATAAAAAAATGTGTATTTTACATTATTTGAGTTGATTTTCTAAGATACATCATTTCCAACAAAGAATTAATGATCGATCCTGAGAAAGTCCAAACTATCATTAATTAAAAGGTTCCAAAAATAATAAAAGATATATAATATTTTTTAAAAAAATTTAATTATTATAAAATCTTCATCAAGAATTTTTCTCAAGTTGTCGCTCATCTTATATGTTTGATATGAAACTACAAATTTGAGTGGAGCAAAGAAGTAAAAACATCTTTTGAAGCCTTGAAAACAACATTTATTTCTACATTAATTTTATATTGTATTGATTTTTTTAAGGCATTCTTTATAGAAAATAAATGCATTAAAATTTGCTAAAGATACTATTTTATTACAAATGAGAACAGATGATAAATTCTACTTAGTTATTTTTCATTCTAAGAAATTTTTAGCAACTGAAATTAACTACGATATCCATGACAAAGAGCTTCTTATAATTGTGGATTCATTTCAAAAATAACGTCATTATCTAAAAGGTGCTTCTAATTTAGTTATTATATATACAAATCACAAGAATCTTGAGTACTTGATGTTAGCACATGTTTTGAATCATCGTTAAGCCTGTTGGAGTATGTCTTTATCAAGATTTGATTTCAAAATCACCTATAGATTCAAAAAACAACAAGGTTTATAGATGTCTTTTCTAGACATTCTTATTTTACATCAAAAGAAGCATATGTAGCTTTTAATCAATAAAAAATGATTCTCTTAAAGCTAGAGTATTTCCATCTTCGAGTAGTAAAACCAACATTGACTATTGATTTAGGCTTTGTCAAGAAAATCTAATTAAATATGTCTTTTGATCTTCTTGTTTATAATATCAAGAATAATTCTTCTAAGTCTTATGATACTTCCAAGTTTGAATTTAAAAATAATCTATTCTATTTTGAAGGATGATTATACATTCCAAAAGGCAAAGCATAATTATGTGTTCTTCAAGCTTGTCATGACTTTCTAGCGACCAAATATTTTGGATATATCAAGATTTTAGAGCTAATATCTAGAAATTTTTGGTAGCTTCAAATGAAAAAGGCGGTCAAAGACTTTGTAGAATAATAAGATATTTGTTCAAGATCCAAAACTCCTTGTCATTGATCTTGTGAACTTCTTCAGCCATTATCTATTCTAGAACAATCT